TGCTGTGCTCTGAGAGACAGGAGTAGGTGGGAAATCTGTTTTTTGGTTTGTCTTTTTGCTTTGCAGCTACCTAAGTGAGAATCAAGCTGCCTTTGACTTTAAAGGGATTTTGAATATAATTCTGTTGGGGCCAGAGTGCTAGCACAGGTAGGGCACTTCCTTGAGCACAGCCAACCTGGGTTCAATCTCCAGAACCCCATTTGGTCTGCTGAGTATTGCCAAGAGAGATCCCTGAGCACAGAGTCAGGAGTAAACCCTGAACATGCCCCCCCTCTCCCTCAAAAAGAAAGCAAACAAATCAAAAACAAAACAACAAAACCGAGAATCTTTAAACTGATATGACTTCCAGTTCGTCACTGGGTCCAACACCTGGGGTGCCTAGGAAGTTAAGGTTTTTGCTGGAAATATACCAACTGACCAGTCACAAATCTGCATTTGATGTCACACCAGACTTGTGCAAGACAGAGCCAGGATGATGTCAGCTGTGTCCCAGCATCACATGTGCCTATTGAAGTGAGTACATCAACACAAATGCTTTCATCAGGAAGTTCTTCCTACTTGAGGTTTGGTACCACTTCCCTCCTCCTCGTATATTATTGATCCTACACTTCTTTAAATCAAACAGAATTTCCACATTATGGTAACTGATTTTTAAGGTGACCTGACAATGAAATATTTTCTTTAATCTTAATCTTCTTAAAACGCCATTTTTTGGGGGACCCAGAGGGCTCCATGGTTTGAAGTGGGACTGAGTATTCAAGCACAGGTCCTGTGTTTGCTCTTCTCCAGGCAATTTTGAACAACCCCACACTGGGTCCCAGGCAGGGGGAATAATTACTGATTTCTCTTTTCAGACTTAAGGGTTGTAAATCTTCTTCATACTGTTAGGCTCCTAGCTCCTAGCTAGCCATCAACTCCTAACTGCTACTGACCCCATAGCAATTTTCTTTGTTGCCTCTGACCTACTCAGTTGCTCTCTGGATGACATTGGAAGGAAATGAAATGAAGACGATATTTTAAGGAATATTGGTTTTTGCATTTTCAGAGGTCTAAAGGGTCAAGAGAGCAGATTTTGTTAATGTCGAGTCATCTGAAGGTTGTAAAGAATTTACAAAACTAAGGGATTAAAGTACTTTTATAATGCATGAAAGTAATTTCAATTAGAGTTTTAGTGGTCTCACTAAAGGAGAGAGTTCATTTGAGGGGTGAAGAGTACAAAGGGGGAGAGGAAAGTAGTTCTCTGCTTTTCCTGACTGCACCTAGTTGCTTTCATTTTATATTTTCCAAAGAAAGCTATTAATACTCAAAGCAAGGGGCTGCTCACAGAGAATCGAGGGCACACACTAGAAATTTGAGAATTCCATAAGTTCAATCCCAGGTGAGGAAGCACTGGGTTTCAAGGGATATTTGCTCCAAATATTTGCCCACATCTCTCACAAACACTGCTGTAGATCAACATTGTTTTCATCCTGACACCGCTCCCCTGACTGAGGATCTCTTGTCAGTTTTATAGTTTTATTTACTTCTATTTTACACATTTCTCTTTTTTGCAGTGATTCTCTTTTATTCGGGGGCCACACTTGGCAGTGCTCAGGGCTTACTCATAGTTCCATGTTCAGGGCGGCTCCTGGCTGCATTTGGGAGGCCACATGCTGCGTAGGGCTTGAGTCCCATGCACGGTCAGTACCTTACCTGCTACACTATCTTTCCAGTCCTACTTTTTTTTCCTTTTAAGGAGATTAGCTTAACGTTGAATATTTATTCATATAATTCATATGACTGCACGAGAGCTTAATGGGAATTGCTGCTGTGAATTACAAAGGCAATGGAGGCACACAGGACCTATTTCTGGCTCTGTGCTCAGGAATGATCCCTGGTGGTGTATGGGGTTCCCTACGTGGTGCCAGGGATTTGAAGTGGAGTGGATGCATCTAAGGCTTTGCCTCCTCTGCTCTCTGGCTCCCAGGATCAATATATTAAAATTTTTCTGCTTGACTGTTAGATTCTTCAGCTGTAGAATGTCTAAAAGAAAGCCTCCTGTCTCACAGAAAGGAAAATGAGAGTCACCGTATATGACCCACTCTAGTACTTGGCGTGGAGTGAAAGCTGTGGGAACTACTTTTTCTATCCTGTTAAGGCAAATGATGGGGAGTAGGAATAACAGGTTTACTTGCTAAGGAAGAAACAAAACCAAAATGTGGATCAAATAAGTCACTTTGTTTCCAAAGTGGCCCCAAAGTGGCCCCAAAGCATGATGACAGCTGCCACCCACTCAGAGACAGAGCGGTTGCCAGCACCATCCCACAAGGTTGGACCAGGAGTGGAGAAGCTCCAACAGAAACCAGATGTCTGACAGGAACTTTGAAAGGCCACCCAAAGTCTCCAGCCCTTCACAACAGCCCAGAAACAGCCTCTTATCACCTGAGAAAGGCCCAAACAAATGCAGTCCTGGACAGATCCTAAAAAACTAACTTTACAAGTCAAGAGGGCAGCGTTCCCCATCCTGGAATCTGCCCATGATTCGACTTCTCTCTTCTCTGGAGAATACCATGCTTCCATCTGAACATATTTCTCTCTCTCATCTTGTCTCGCTTCTGTTTCCCAAGTAAAGGTATTTTACTTCACCATTTGCCTCCTTCCAGAACTTCTTTTTTTTTTTTTTTTGAGGGGGACAGTGGACCTGGGAACCCTGGGCAGAGGTCAGAACTGACTTTCCTTTTCCTGCAAAAAGCAAGTCATTGCTCTAGCCCGTGTCCATGGTTCCCCAAGAGAACTCACCTGGGAGGTCAATTGAACCTTGGGTGCAGCTTGATATCTATGCTGTGGGGCTGGTGGACCTGAGCACCCAGACAAGGCATGTGCTCTCAGTCAAGTTTACCAGAGTGAACCCCCTGTAGGCACTTCTGCAGGGAACCAGCAGAGGGTTGAGCAGGAAGGTGGTAGCTCTCTTTGTCTCTGTCTCTGTATCTCTTGCCCCATCTCTCTCTTAGAAACTACCTCCAGTGAACCTTTCAGACACTGTTTCTTTTGAAGAGCCATTATTATCCTGCTACAACCCTATTATCGACACTGTATTATTATAATAGTGATAAGAACAGCCTGTTTCTTTTACATGATTAAACCAGAAAGTCTCCCATGGAGAGTATCATGCCAAGTGAAATGAGTCAGAAAGACAGGAACAGACATAGAATGACTGCACTCATTTGTGGAATATAAAATAACATAATATGAGACCAACACCTAAGGACAGTAGAGACAAGGGCAAAGAGGATCGATCACTCCATGGTTAGAATCCTGCCTCATGTGCTAGAGGAAAAGGCAGTTGGGATGGAGAAGGGACCACTAGGTCAATGATGGTTGGAGGGATCACACAGGATGGGAGACATATGCTGAAAGTAGACTAAGGACCAGACATGATGGCCTCTTAGTATCTATATTGCAAACCATAATGCCCAAAAGTAGAGAGAGAGTAAGAAGGAAGCTGCCTGCCACGGAGGCAGGAGGTGGGATGGGGTGGAGGTGGGGGGAGGGATAATGGAGACATTGGTGGTGGAAAATATGCACTGGTGGAGGAATGGGTGCTCTATCATTTTATGACTGAAATTTAATCATGAAAGTTTGTAAATGTATCTTGCAGTGATTCAATAAGAACAAAATAAAACAAAACAAAAATACCATAAAATCTCCACCAAAACTTGAAAATGCATCTCTTCTGCTTCACCTGTTTTTGCAGGTGATCTCTATAAAACTGTGAGTCAGTTTCTGGAAGGTTGATCATTTCTAGATTCTTCTCTGACTCTTAAAAAACCCTAATCTCCATCCCTTAGAGTTTAAGCTCTTTGCTTAATACCCAAGCATTTGAGGTGGTAGTTGATCATTTCCGTGAATTCTTTATCTAATTGACCCCTTAGCTCCATGTTGAGAGTTGTCTTTGGTAAGCTGTGTTATTATTATTTGAACATTTGACTCATTGCCCTACTTGATTATAATTGACTGAAGAGGTGGTGGAAATCTTATTTATGTACAGGTAGGACATCTGAGCCTTACCCGGTGGTATTAGTAATTATTTTTAAAAAGAAGTGAGCTAAAATAACAAATATTTTAATAAAATTCAAAGTTGTTTACTTTTTAAGAAGGGACTTTAAAACTATAAATGGTTTTCTTGGGCACCCCTACTCCTTATAGATTTGGGGGAACCTGAGCATGCATATCTCATACTTTCTTGCATTACTGTCTATGTCACAGAGAACTTTTTGTTCTCAGACTTAAAGTCCAGTTTTATCCTTTATTTTTGATACCAGAAATCATTCATCTGCTGTCCTTATGCTTATTAACTTCTGCCAATATTTGGTGGTCTTGGGAGAGAACTAGCCTTTGTTTCCACAATGTCAGAAACACTTGCCACATTTTGCTAAAGGACTTTTTACTCTGTTTTGAGCATTGTTCCTCTCTGAATGTGAAGTGTTCCTGCTAAGTATAACTCCGTCCTTGAGTCAACACCCAGTGTATACAGGAAGTTATGTTTGTGTGTCCCTCAGACTTGCTATATCTTATCTCTACCTTCAAATCCAAAGTAAGAAACGGAGGATGTTCCAGAACCTGGGAACCTGCCACTTAATTTTAGCCACTAAAATTTTGCAAATATTAACTTATGATAGTTAAAAATATAGGAGACAAAGACATTTTTTTGGATTGAAAACATGTTGATTATTTCCTTTCACCTGTCAACTCTAATGTCTCTGCAGCATTGTGGATGATGCTGGTGTTTGCGAATTTCTCAATAATGCCTTCCTACCTACTGTAACATACAATATTTATTGTGTCCAATTGCAAGGTGGACCATATGTCAGTAGTGAATTTGTCAGGCTTGTATGTCACTTGTGTTCTAGATTTATAAATTCCTAAAATTTTTTATTTCCACATCTTGGAAGCAAGATCCAACTCTAATATTTTAATTGCAGAGATATATTGCACACTTGAGGATAAAAAGACGTACATACCGACTAGTGGGGTCCAGAAATCCTGTGATGCCAGAGAGTTGGGGCCAGTTGAGTTCATCAGTAAGAGTTGTTGGTAAGTTGTAAAAGGATTTCTAAAGAAAAAATAACAAAGCAGTAATTATAAAAATAATCATTTATTTCTAAGAGGTAGTAAGATGCTATATTTCCTAGGAATTATCTTCTGTCTTACACTCCTCACCTCATAATCACTCTATTTAAGGCCCTGTGACATTTACAGTTTGTGCCTCTCGGACCTGAGCTCACGATCACGATCACGACCACCCTGTTGTTCGTCAATTGCCTCGAGCAGGTGCCAGTAACGTCTTCTTCGTCCTAGTCCTGAGATTTTTTTTTTTAAAGTGCCATATTCAAGGCTTTTTCAGGGTTAGGAGAATGAGACCCATCATTGTTACTGGTATTTGGCATATTGGATATACCACGGGGAGTTTGCCAGACTCTGCCGTGTGGGCAGGTTACATTTGGTAGCCTGCCAGTTTGACCAAATTAGGAATGAGATGATAAGATGTCGCGCTTTCGTGTTGTATGAAAGGAGAGAAGGTTAGCACTCCCCTTGACAAGGACCTGAGCTATCATTGGAAAATTTACAAACATGAGCATCATCCACAAGCTGGCTTCCATGATGGCATTAGTCCCTTCCTCATCTGGAAGATATATTTTACTAGCTGGATAGACTTTCCACTCTTGTAAATGTGTGGGGAATCTCCTCCAGTTTACAATTCAATGATCAAAATTGTACCTAAAGTAATAATATCCAAGTGCCTAACAAAAATGCATTTCCTGCGTTCAAAACCTAAATTTATAAAGTGGTATTTCCTAGAGTGTTTGGAGTGCTTTTCCTCCACAAGGATGCAGATACAGTGCCCAAAAGATAGCTCAAAGAGATGAGCACATGCTTTGCCGGCTGGAAGCCTGGCTTCAATTCCTGGCACCACATGGTCGCCTATAACACTGCCTGTAGGGACCCACAACTGTATTGGGAGTACTCCTCGAGCATATCTGGGTGAGGTCCAAGGACAAAATAAAAGCCCAAACAGATAAGAATAAAGCACATATGATCATAGTCATAGCCTATGATTTCAAGGGTTTCACAGACAGTTCTTATACAGCCTTCAAGTCAGGGATTCTTCACATATAATGTTGACAAAAATTAAGTCTCAATTAAGTTCCATTACTTTGGCTTGTGAAAAGTCCCAGGAGAAAATAATTTTCTGCAACATATTGTCCTTTTGCAAATGACTTCTGGGATGGATCACTCTTTTGATATGGTTTCTGAACAATACCTATCTACACTGATGTGGTAACACTATGGTTGCCAGATCTAGCAATTCGTATGGGATGCCTTATTAAGTTTTGGGGTATACACAGGAATGTTTTTCAGTCTTAAAAAATAAGAAAATACTGATATATGTGCATCAAACTTAAGGATATTAGGATACATGAAATAACAGTCCATTTATAGTCAAATAAATACTGCAGATTCCATTTAATATGATCTGAGAAACTCATGCAAACCAAAAGTTGTTTCTAGGACTTGCAGGGAGGGAGAATTGTAAGGTGCTGTATAAAGAATATAGAATTTCAGAGGCTGGAGCTATAGTGCAGTGGACAAGGCTCTTGCTTTGCATGCTGTTGACCCTGCGTGCAGAACCAGGAGTAAGTCCTGAGCATTTCCAGCTGTGCCCCCCCCAAAGCAAGAAAAAATGAGCAAACAAACCAACAAACAAACCCAGCAACAACATAGAATATAGAATTTTTGTTTTAAAGGATGAGAACAAAAACATTCTAAGATTTATTGCACAGTAATATAGATATACTTAAGAGTACTGAACTATACATTTAAAAAGAGGAAAATGGTAATAAAATAATACATTTTATATATTATATAATTTTTGCCACAATTAAAGAACAAATATGCAAAAATGGAATTAAGGTAACAAGGACTGATTTTTAGTAAAAGTATATCTCATGCAATACTTGGGACATACCATTGCTAAGAATATTAATTGTTCATCTGAAATTCAAACCTACCTGGGGTCCTATATTTTATTTTGTCTGGAAATCCTAGTTTGGATAAAACTCTGAAAACTTGGACCAGAGAAATAGGTTCAGTCCCCAGCATCCCATATGGTCTGATCTCTCTCTCTCTCTCTCTCTCTCTCTCTCTCTCTCTCTCTCTCTCTTGCTCACTTTTACTCTCACTCTCAATCTTCTCTCCATTTTGAGGGCACACCAACTGTGTTCAGGGCTTACTCTTGACTCCTTACTCCTTACTCCTTACTCAGGGATCACTCCTAGGGAATCATATTGGGTGCTGGCAATCAAATGCAGGTTAGCCACATGCAAGGCAAATGCCCTACCACTGTAATATCTCTCCAGCTCTTTAATGTCCTTTTTTTATCCTTGATTGACAGCACACCTCAAGGAATGACTACAGAAAGCAGATTATTTTGGGCGCCTCCCATCCTCTTTGAACCCTTGCATTTCTTAACTTTTAAAGTCCATACTCTTTTGGAAAACACAAAAACCTTGAGTCCTCTTTAAATATCATTTAAAGTAAAAAATAAAGTGAAAACGTCAAAAAATTAACATCAAAGCAATTGTAAAATTTACTACACTCTTATGATGGCATCTGCCTTGCCCCAGGTTTGCTTTCTACCCACGATCATTTCCTGTTTCCTCAAGAGAAGCTGAGCTGGGATGTGTGAGGAAAGCCACGCTCCATCTCTCCCAATCAACCACTTGAAAATGTTCCTTTATGACTTTTTTCTGATTAAAAGTAGTGAATGTTATGCAATTTCAAAGCTTATAGTAATTTTCAACGCAGAAATAAAGATGACAACTTCAGACCCCTCTAAGAGGTGACTGTATTATAAAATAATGCCTATTAATACTATGAATTAGGTAAATTAGAACCTACCATTATCCTTTAGACTTGGAGAATTTAAATAAAGTTCCACTACTCAGTGTAGTCAAAATGAGTACTCAAAGTAAATACAATGATTCTTTGGTTCTCAGTTGTAGATTAGTGATTGAATTGTGTTCCCAATACTGGCTGGCATTCGAAGGTTCAATACAACAGACTGGGAGCATGTTTGTAATAGGGTCACTGCAGACTGGGGTAGGTGAGTCCCTGATCCTTTGAAGAAGACGAAGGAGGGACCCAGAGACAGAGGAGGGCAGAGAAGAGAGGTGCTCCTGTGAGTTAGGTTGCCATCGGTTCCCGGAAGCAAGGAGAGAGAAACGGAACATCTTCCTTCAGACCCTTCCAAGGGATTGATTTATCGGTATTGAGCTGCCATACTATTGACCTCTTGATCTTTGGCTCATAGCCTCCCTAATTGTGAGACAATCAATTCTGTTGTTTACAGTCACCTTGTTTGTGATAGTCTGTTATGGAAGCCCTGGGGAAATAAGACATGGCTTGAATTTAACAATTTTCTTGTTGATATTATTATTCAGAGGCCCAGATACAGCCTTGTACCGTTGGTGGCCGTGTTATACTGGATGTAGTAAGTCCTATATCAAATATAAAACGTTTCAACAGAGCAGATGTTCTGTGGTACTTTCTCTGTGTTCTGTGAGGTTCTGCCCCCCTCACTTGCCTCCTTTTTTCGCAGACCAGTACCGAGGCCTTCAATGTCATTCTCATTCCACGTGTAGTTTCCAGAAGAGTAATGAATGGAGGGTGTTACAGAGAATGGTGTCTACTTTGTTAATTATGATGTGTCAAAGAAATGGAGACACATGCTTGGAACGAAGTTCCCTATGAGTCTCAGTTCCTGTGACTGATACTGTCACCCTCTCTGTAGCAGGAGACACCCACCACACTTGTTAAAAAATCTCCCATTACTGAGATTCAGCTGCAATTTTGCTTTCTACTTCTGCCACTATAAATCAAACTGTTCTTTTTATATGATTTTCTTCCCTTGGACTCTCAGCTTGTAATGAGTATTTGCTGTAGGATTTGTGAATATTCAGTTCTACTAGTGAAGACAAGAAAAAAACAAATAGAAGCGACAAAACTCGTGTTAAGATGTGTTAAGTCAAGAGAGAGAAAAAGCAAGTGGTTTGCAGAATTTGTGAGCTGTGTTAAGTAAGATAGCAATCTGTAAAAATAAGCTAAAAGTTAAAAGAACAGTACAACACTCCCCCATACCACTCTAGCACCTTTTTATCCCCTCAGTCATTTGCAACCTCAGATTTGATAAAGTAGATATGGAACTAAGCATCTAGTTACAGATAGCATCTACCCATTTCAAGGATGAGATGACAAGAACTATTGCTAGGAGAATAAGAAGGTGAGTCTGGTGTAATCTCAAGGAGGGGCTAGTAGTTCTTAAGGGCTATAAAAGTAGGGGGAGTCTGTTCTGGGAGTTAGACTATTTGACTTCTACATCTGGCTCAACAAAGACAGGAAATCCTACAACTCCAATACAAATTGGAAATGGCTCCATATTCTATCCACTCCCCATTCTCAATCAGGGTGGGTGATAATGGTCTTTTTTCTTGCTGGGGAAGGGAACATTCAGGGAGGATTGCAACTGACAAAGAAATCCCCAGCAGTCTCGGCAGGGAAAGAAGGTCCCCAGCACTTCCCAGCTCAGACTCTCTGGATCACTCCAGAGACACAGGTCTTCATGTCCTTGAAGAATGTTGTACTTGTTGCTTCTCTCCAGAAATCTATGACTATTCCTGGAATTAGCTCCAGCAGGATTGAGCTGGCATGGACAACGAAAAGTGCTGAATCACAGCTGAGACCAGCATGGGTTTGAAGCCACAGCTAAAGTCCCAGAAAACCCCTAATGGTTTGCTGCTTAGGTTTATCCTGGTTCTTTGGTTGGTTTGAAATCATGTGAACCTGTTTTGCTTTGCTTTCTTCTAAGTAGGGACCTTCTCCAGCCATGCTAGTGTCCACTCTCAGCAATGAAGGCCTGTTATGGCTGTTCCATGCTTGATCCCAGCAAGTGGTGCTCTGAGGGTTGTGCTGAGAGCCTCTGGGTTATATCCTGGGAATGTGTCTGGGATCCTGTGGTACCAGAGAGGAAACCTGGGGCCTTGAATATGCTGAGTA